CAATTAATTAATTTAGTTATTATTATAAAAGATATACCTTAACAGGTACTGGTTATTAATCAATACAGATATACATTGTTAAATGACTTATAGTCTAAGTAGACACATGCTCTAAAGCATTGATGATTTTGTTTTGGTGAAATCTTTCCTTTCTTCATCTTTTTACAATGATTAGTGTTGTGCTACGAGATACCAGCTCCTCCTGATGAGTTTTCACATCCAAATGAGGACCCAAGACACCACAGTCTCCACATGGACAGAGTAATGGATGTCTCCTGGTGAGACGAATGATTTGTCTCATCATCCACAAAAACTGTCCAGGGGAAACCCTCAGAGCTCACAAGTCTTCTTCCTAAAGCCTGTAGAGTGCACACACAGGTTCTTGTTCAGGAAGTGAAGCTTGCTCTTCTCTGATCAGGATGTAATGGAGAAATAAACAAGGACCTGTTTGAGCAGGTGGGGGGTGTCCGGGATACAGGGAGCTCAGTCAGATTGCTGTGAGATCACCTGGGCCCAGCCCCTCGTGCCCACGATGCGCGTGCACAGTGACAGTGCTCATGACAGAGCCACAGGGACCCGGCCTCCATCCCAGACGGGACATCCACAGGACTCCAGAGCCATCGTGATGGAAGAAACCCCAGGACAGACGGGGCCCAGCAAGGCCAGTCTACATGCACATGGCCTGTTGTCTGTCCAGTCCAACCCAGACTCCTCATGTCCACTTCCACATCCCCTGGAGGACAGCAAGAGGCACTGGTCAGGGGAGATTGAGGAGTCCACCACGTTTCCAGGGCGCCATAGGCTGAGCTCCAGAGGTATGGCCAACCCCTGTGTTTTATGACTTGGGTCCCCAAGTACATTTGGTGGCTGGACAAACAGAAAAGCAGAATGAGAATATGAGAGTCACTGAGGAAGAAAGTGAATGAATGGAGCAAGTCTGTTAGGTCAGTTCTGAACCCCTGAGCAGTGCTTCAGGTGGAGGGAGGAGGGCAGCATTTGAGGCCTGTTAAGCGTCATGGGTCAATGGGCTGTGCTCTCTCTCTTTCTCTCTCCCTCCCTCTCCTTCTCTCTCTTTCTGTCTCTCTCTGTCTCTGTCTCTGTCTCTCTCTCTCCCTTTCACTCTTTCTGTCTCTGTGTCTCTCTTTCTTTTTCTGTACTGTTTTGAACTCAGGGCTACTATTTTAGGCACACACATGCATTTCAGCCCTTTCTACAGCTTTTCTGATGTTATTTATTTTCTGGTACTGTGCTGTGTTTTTGCCTGGAGTGGGTTCCAGATAGTGATTTCACACTTGCCTCCTCTGTAGCAGGAATCACAGGAAACAGCTGCCACATGTAACTTACTGATGAGATGGTTTCTCATTAAGATTTTGCCCACTTGGCCTCCACAAATACTCATTTTTCTCTCCTCCTCCCAAGTCTCTAGGAATACAGACAGCAGTCACCATGCCAGGTGTTTTCCCTCTTGTTCACAGGACAAATTCCAACTCTGTGAATCCTGGGATCTTTGTCCTGAGTCTCATGGGGTCACCAGGGTCCCTGAGCTTCTTCAGGATCAAATACTGGTCACCACGGCAGAGCCATTTTTGCTTCCACCGGGATACTCTGTTCATTCTTAACAGTTCCAGCAAATGACTGGAGACATCACAGAGGAGTGCGGGTCATGAACTCAGGAGAGATGCTGTCACACTGTGGACACAGAGACAGGGCAGACAGCAGGAGAGCAGCCCTGGGCTCTGTGTGCAGCTGCTCCTGAGCTGACCCGGCTCCAAGCTGTGCCCAGCGCCCCCTGCTGGTGCTGAGCGCCCTGCAGGAGGTTTGTGTCTGGCCCACACAGGATTTCCTGCACTGTGTGTCTAGCACAGTAATAGACGCCCGTGTCCTCCACCCTCAGGCTGTTCATCTGCAGGTAAAGTGTGCTCTTGCTGTTGTCTCTGGAGGTGGTGAAGCGGCCCTTCACAGAGTCTGGGTACCATGTGCTACCACCATTAGGGTGAATTTCTGCAACCCACTCCAGCCCCTTCCCTGGAGCCTGGCGGACCCAGCTCATGTAATTACTACTGAAGGTGAATCCAGAGGCTGCACAGGAGAGTCTCAGGGACCCCCCAGGCTGCACCAAGCCTCCCCCAGACTCCACCAGCTGCACTTCACACTGCACACCTGCAAAGACAGAGAATCCTGGTCAGCAATGTTTACGCACATGTCCATTGTTCCTCCCACTCATGTGCATTTGCACACTCAGTATCCCTTGCTCCCCATGAATCACCTTTCAACAGAGCAACAAGGAGAACCCAGCGCAGCCCCAGCTCCATGGTGGTGGTCTGTGCTCAGTCACTGGTGGAATCAGCTCACAGAGCTCAGGTCAGGGATGGGCTGGTTTTCATGGGCAGAGGTACGTCCTATTTGCATGTCCTCTGCTATAAAGCAGCTCTGGGGCAGAAGTCTCAGGAGGGCAGTGCACACAGGAGATGCAGTTGGAAGACAGAGTTTGTTAGATGAGTGAATAAACTGAATTGTCTGTAATCAATTGGCTTCAAGAAACCCACTGATGGAATATGAACTTCTTTAGAGAAGTTTAACTCTGCTTCCCTTAGTAAAGATTGCTGAGCCATTTGCTTTTAAAAACATTTTCCCTCTGCCTTTTGTATTGTTTATTGTTTGTATTTGGGAGGGTAAGGGGGTCACATAAAATCTGGAACAGGAATGAACAAATATCACAGAGATACTCACCAGACGCTGTGGAAAATGAACTGGAAATCCTATGGGTGGGGACAGGAGGGAAGGATTGGGAGAGAGCAACAGAAGGGGAAAATGGTTCATAAAGAACTGCACTGATTGTACCTGATTCACGTAACTGTAACCGCTCTGTACATCAACTACACAAAAAACAATTTTTAAAAATTCAATAAAAAATTAAATAAAACATTTTGATCTTTAAGTCGCTCCATGAAGGCGTTGCTGTTCAGTGAGGCAGTTTATGAACACACTGAGGCTTGATCAACCTTTCAACATTTGAGCCCACCCCTCCACCTCCTCTTCCCTCTCTCTGGTTAATGGTCAGGACATGTATGCTGACATCATTGAACACAGCAGTTCATGGATACAAGGCATGTGGATCTGAGTCATTCCTTCCTCACCTTTCCCCTTTGACCCACCCTTAGCTCAGTGTTCTCAATTCTGTGGCATAGGCACTGTATTCTTGCCTGTGTTCTCCATGGTGTCTCCTTCATTCTTCTACCATTTGCCCCTCATCTCTCCACTCCCAGTACCCTCTTTTTGGTGCTTACTTTGTTGATCTTTGACTTAGTCTTTGTGAAGAGCTATACTCTTTGATCTCTCCATAGAGTCTATTGTATGTGTCTCCCAGTGAGACATATAACAACAGCAGGAGAGGACCATGAGCATCGTTGTTCTGGGAAGCAGGGATGACCTGAGCTCTCTGCTCTTACTGCACATGGAGCACTGCTCTCATCCACGCACATTGTGAGAAACCTGTCATCCAGGAAGGTCACCACGCTAGACCCAGGTCCCCAACGCCACATAGTCCCCACTCCTCACTTGTCTCGGAGGATCCTTTTCTCCAGGCCTTTACACAAACACAGACTTGATACTGAGGCATGGCAGCCTGGATTTTGAGTGACCCAGGACTGGAAATAGCCCTGGCAGATCAATGCCGCATATTAAAAGCCAAGCCTTTTGAAGGTTGCAGTGGAGATGTTGTGTGGATGGAATGAAATTCCTCACTAATTCCTCTCTGGCAACCTGGGTGGATCTGAGTGGGAACAGCCTAGAGAGGATGACATTCCACCACAGAGGCAGCGTCTGCAGCAGGCTCTGCGGGAGGTTCTAGATCTCTTCCTGAGGGCCAATCGCAGGAGCTCCCACCCACCCTGCACCTCCACAGCCCACGTGCTCCAGGAGGACCTGGCCCCAGCCGGTCCTCAGTCCCATGTGCGCAGGCTCAGGACAGTGAGGTGATGCAGGTGAAATCCCAAGTGACGACTGTTTTCACACTCATCCATGTGCCCTTAGCTACAGATATCCCCTGAGCTTCCTGCCAGAGTCCATAGAGAGGAGGACAGGACAGTCCAGGGCACGCAGCCTGGGGACACCAGTGAGTTCTTCCCAGGCATGCAGGAGTCACGGCCACAGCCTCATTGTCCTCCAGGTCCCGGTACTGGGTCTGGGGTCTAGAGACTGCATACAGGCCACGTCTGCAGGGGATTAATGTGAAGGACAGGTGTGGACAACACAGAGACAATTAAGAACACAGGAGTCCTTCTAGGATCAAGCAGTGACCAGATCCAGAACTGTGGCTGAGAATCCCATTAAACCTCATCATCTACAGCATGTGTAGAAAGGGATGGAGGCAGAGGAGCTGGTGGGGGTCACTGGGCCTCTGGAGTTAACCACATCTCAGCGGTGCCCAAGACTGGGCTCTGTGGGTCACAGAGCAGCCCCCGGTCCTGACCGATGGCCCCTCACATGTCACCAGCAAGAGGAAAGGGGACAACAGGACCAAAGCCGGGCTGGACTCTGGGCTCTGTGAGCAGAACGGTGGGCCTTGAAATCCATCAGCGACATGGAGGCCCTGGCTCTGCACAACATCCCTTGCACTCTGACCTGAGGATAAAGACTGACCTAGCCAGGGAGTCCACTGCGTCTCACCCAAGTCTGAGAGGAAAGGACTGAGCAGGGATCTTGACCTTCCTCATGTTTGACCCCAGTGATCTCACCATGCATGGTGCTGTGTCTGGTCCTCTCAAGGAGGCATCATCAACCACAACAGAATCAGGACAATTGAATATGGAAAAAGCTGTGTTCTGAGTGGTTGGAGAACAGTAAGAACACAGTGGACAACTCTGTGGGGGACGCTGCGTCCTGTGGAGAGGCCAGGCACACAGAGGAGTCAGAACCAGAGTGTTCCACAGCTGCTCCTGTGACTGCCATGACCTCAGTGTGAGCCCAGCACCCCCTGCTGGTGCTGACTGAGCATGACCTCAGTGTGTGCCCAGCGCCCCCTGCAGGTGCTGAGCGCCCTGCAGGGAGGTTTGTGTCTGGATTTCCTGCACTGTGTCTGTAGCACAGTAATAGACGGCCCAGTCCTCCACTCTCAGGCTGTTCATCTGCAGGTAAAGTGTGTTCTTGCTGTTGTCTTTGGAGATGGTGAAGCGGCCCTTCACGGAGCCTGTGTACTGTATGTTACTACTACCATAAATGGATGAAATCCACTCCAGCCCCTTCCCTGGCCTGGCGGAGCCAGTTCATCCAATAACCACTGAAGGTGAATCCAGAGGCTGCACAGGAGAGTCTCAGGGACCCCCCCAGGATGCACCAAGCCTCCCCCAGACTCCACTAGCTGCACCTCACATTGCACACCTGCAAATACAGAGAATCCATGTCAGCAATGGTCACACACATCCACGGTTCCTCCCACTCAGCTCCACTCACACACCCAGTGTCCCTTCTTCTCTGCAAATTACCTTGTAAAATGGCCACAAGGAAAACCCACATCAGATCCCCCTCCATGGTGGAGGTCTGTGTCCATGGCTGATCTCAGGATGGATCCCCTGGAAGTCAGGCCTGACCTGCAGAGCTGCAGCTTTTCATGAGCAGAGGGAGGCCCCATTTGCATGTTCTCTTGGTATATAGCCAGCTCTGGGGTGGAATCTGAGCAAAGGCAGTGCAGAGAAGACAGGAGAATCAGGCAGTCAGCAGTGACAATGATTACATGGAAGAGAACACAGACCTCATTCCACAGCAGAGCGAATGCTTTAGGAGACCTCATCTTACTGCATTTTACACAGCACCGTCAGTCATCACTCACATTAGGTGTCATGATGTGTGCATGTGTCACATTGGTGGTATGAATTTGTAATTGAAGAGTCTCTTGATTGCTAGAGAGGTGCACTGCCCCATGAGCTGTGTGTCCAGCCATTTTTGCTGTATTTTTCTTTAGTGATTTTGGGGATATGGCCATGCATTTTTCCTGGTGGTATGGGATGTGTTCTCCTATCTATGCTTTCTGTGCAGCTGAATGGATTGCTGTGCATGACCGTGTTTATCTCTGGGCTGACAATGTGTCTCTGGGACTGGCTCCAGTCATTCCTGCCAGTCTCCCTACCGAGCAGGGGCAACCAACCCATCTGACCATTTTGTCACTTTTAAACTACGGAAAGGCACTTATTTTATTTGCTGCCAACTTGTTCAGCTTTACCACTTAGAGGACTTGGTTATAACATTTCATAAGCACCACAGCACAGGGAAATCTGCTTCACCAGAAGCAGTCAGGAAATGGGGCATTCTTCCAGAAGCATGTCCTTGGCTTCCACTCCACCCCTCCTCCCACCAGCAGTGGTTGTGGGTTAAGGAAGGCTGTGTGCTTCCTACTGCAGATATGCTAAGGGGATCATTTTAGGGTGGTCATTTTATGTTCTCTTTTCATTTACTTTTATTTTTGGTATTTGGGTTTGAAATCACAGCCTTGTGTTTGCTAAGCACGCTCTCTGCCATGTCTTCAGCTCCTTTGACTCTACGCTGTTTCTCACGTAGGATGAAATGACTTTGGCCAGGGCTGGCTTCATGCTGTTATCTTCCTAGGATGCCCATTATATTTGAGTTTACAGGTGTGGGCCCCATGCCTGGATTATTAGGAAATACGGTCTCATCAACTTCTTGTGCAGGCTGGCCTCAATCCATAGTTTGCTGGATGTTTTCCCCTGCATAGCCACCAAGTTCAGCTCAGTGGTGTCTTAGTCCATTCTTGGTGGTATTAACATATCCCCGATGGGGAAACCTATACAGGGTGAGGATTTGTTCTCATAATCAGGGGGCCAAGGTGTTCAAGATCAAGCACTTTTCTGTCAGCTTTGGGCTGTTTTTCTGGTTCCTAGGTGGTCTAACTGCTGTGTCCTCATGTGGCACAATATACACCTGCATCCTTCCCTTGCAGGATGGGAAGGAAAGATCAGCTCCCTTCCTCAAGCGGACAGGAGGACACTCACCATCCATGAGTCAGGCTGCTTCCCTGCAAGGGTTAAATTCCAGGTCATGAATGTTGGGGAGCCAAGACAAGCACCCCATAACTTCCCACCTCGGCCTATACTCCTTTCACATTGTACCTTCCAAATGATTTATCCATAGCACCCGCAGCAAAGCGCTAATGCCCCCAGGGCTAATTTTTCATTCAGATTCCAAGGTTTTGCTATCGTCTGAATCACAGGGTGTTGAGTCACAAGTTACATGTGTTGTAAATACAACATGAGCCTGGAATAGGGCAGATACTCCCAGAGGGATGATGGGAAAGAAAGAGCAAGTATAGTTACCAACAAAATCCAACATCAACTGAGAGACCTGAATCCTGAGCGACTGAATGATTTTCCATGACTTGAGTTCCTGCTGGGTGCACACAGTGTGGACGTGTACACATGAGGTCTCACTCATTTATATATTGTACTGGGTACAGTTGTGCATACACAGTGTGGACTTGGATACATGAAGTCTCTCTCTCTCTCTCCACACACACACACACGCACACACACACACACGCACACACACACACACACATGGTACTGGACACACCTGGAGCCCCGTGCTTGGGGTCTGTGGGTCTGCAGCTCTCCCAGGCTGGATTTTCACTGAGCTTTGTCTCCTGCAGTACTGAGCACAGGTCACCCCACAGGTCAGTTAGGCTTTGCCTCTCTGGGGTGCTGAGCCCATAGTTCTGAAGACGCTGTCCAGTGGTCTTCCTGTGCTGTCCTCATTTCTCTCGTCGTCTCTGCCTGTCCCCAGCCATCCATGAATCAGACGGTCTCCACACATCCATCTTGGATTCTGTGCCCTGCAGAGAGACCATGTGACACCCCGAGGCCCGAGCTCTGTACAGGGTCAGCACTGAGCCCCACGCTTCCAGAACACAGGAGTCACCCCTGGGAAGACTGAGGTGCCCACATGGGCAGGCAGGGTAGTGTGGAGGGGGTCTGTCCAGGGTGTCCTGGGCTGCATGGTGCCCGCACCTTTCATGCCCCACTCTGCCCTCATCCTGAGCCCTGCGTCTGTGACGGAGTGGCTGCTCAAGGCTCCTTTCAGGTCTCAGCTCAGGGAGCCCCACTTGGCTTCCTCTTTCCATCACAGTCTCTTATCAGAGCTCCTGGACCACTCCAGCATTCATGCCAAAGCTCATCTCTTTGCTCTGTCAGGTTTTCTGTTTACTTCTTTTCTCCAGTTAGTCCTGGGCCTCGAACCTAGGCCTGGACTCTTTTCCTGAGCTCCATTTGCTCAGGGCTCCCCCTCTACCACCAGAGCTAGCACCACGCCTGGCTTTGTCTGTGACTAATGGGAGATAAATGTCTTATGGAATTTCTCACATAAGGCAATTTTGAACTGTGATCCTCAAATCTTAGCCTCCTGAAAGCTAGGATGACTGGTGTGAGCCACCAGTGTTGGGCCACTTTTTCTTTAAATCAGCTTCATTGTATCAAGTAATGGGTTTCCTTATGACATTTTCACATGAGTGTGTAATGCACTTTGATTGCACGCTCTCCTGCCTGTTACCAATCTTGCTGGCTTCCGCATGCTATTGCCATTCCAATTTTATATTCATGCTTTTGATCTCCTCCAGATCTTTAGTCTACCTAAGAGACAAAAACACAGTATTACTCCTTTGGTGTCTGGCTTATTCTCATCAACAAAGTCTTCTCTATTTTTTTAATTTTCCTTCCAGAGATTTAAGTTCATTCGTCTTTATAGCTGAGTAGTTCCATTCTGTATACATCATTCCTCTTTATAGCTGAGTAATTCCATTCTGTATACATAACATAATTTCTAGGTTCATCCATTGAGCAATCCATTGACTGGACCCAGTCTGATCCCCATACCTTTCCTATATGGACAGTTGAAGACAAATACAACTGTACGTTCACTTTATCATAGACTGCCCGAGACCCCTTGGGTGTGTGCAGGAGTGAGGAGAAGGATCATGGTGGCTTGGCTTTTAGTCTGTGGAGGGTTTTCCATTCTGAGTCCCATAGTGCACTCACTCACATTCTGAGGGCACCATGGAAGGTTTCTTTTCCTGCAGGCTTGCCAGTTCTTGTTTGTTCTCTTTATGATTGACAAGGTACCTTTGGAATGCAGTGCAGTCATGATGAGTGTTTCATTTATGGCTGAGGATATTGAATATCTGTTATATGTGATTGGGTATAGTAGATTCTTATTTTAGGTCTGACCAATTCCTATACCTATTTATTAATTAAATCGTGTGTACTGGTGATTATTTGAGGGCTTCATATATCCTGTTAATGCATCCGCTGTCAGATGCATGTATGGTCAAGATTTCTTTACCTTCTTCATATTATGTGTTTACTGTAGGAATTGAATGCTATTCTATCCTCAGTGGCAAAATGTGAATTGTCGCATCCACCTCGACCAGCAAGGAAGACACGACCCGGGATTCTTCTCAAAGCAGTTTATTCAGGAACCTTGATTGTTAGCTTCTCTCTCGCCCCGCACCCGCACTCCGGTTATAAGCCTCCTGGATGGCCAATCCCGAGGTGCCACGTGGCATATACCAATAGGGTCGCAAACACGGAAGCAAGCCAGTAGCCAAGCCATAGCCATATAAGGAGTTGTTTTTCACAGAGAGCACTCGCCATCGGGAAGGCGGAAGGTGGAAGCCAGCGCCATCTTTGGTCGTGGCCATGCCATGCGGCCGCACCATCTTTGGTTGGCTCCCGCAGCTCTCCACAGCTCCCCCTTTTTGTTTTATTAAGCGACAGGTAAGAGTAGAGGTTGGATGCCGGGCGCTGGTGGCTCACGCCTGTAATCCTAGCTACTCAGGAGGCTGAGATCTGAGGATCGCAGTTCAAAGCCAGCCCGGGCAAGAGAGACCGTGAGACTCCTATCTCCAATAAACCACCAGAAAACCGGAAGTGGCGCTGTAGCTCAAGTGGTAGAGCGCTCGCCTTGAGCTGAAGAGCTGAGGGACAGCGCCCAGGCCCAGAGTTCAAGCCCCACGACTGACAAAAAAAAAAAAAAAAGAGTAGAGGTTGGGCCTCTGTCTAAAACATTAATGAGAGGACCTTGCACTGGTCTTCGCCTGAGGGGCTCGCTTCCCCCAGTGACAACCAGGCCCGTCCGATGCCTTTTTTGCAGAGGTGGGATCTTGGGCATCAACCCACTTGCAACACAACATGCTCTTCTTGGGCTCACGCCAGGAAGTGATTCCCATGTGCAGTGCGTTTGCCCAAATGCAGTGCGTTTGCCTTACACCCTGTGCTATTCCTTTAACGTGGCAAGCCACGCGTGGGGGGACTGTCCGGCCTCAATGGCAGTGAAGGCCTGGACCACCATAGCCATACTCCTGCGCTGCGAGCTCCTAATCCGGCATATGCACCACAGGCACAGCAAGATCACCAATGCCAAGATACCGATAAGGGAGCCTATTCCCGCCCACTCCTTCAAATGATCCACAGCTGTCAAAATCCAGGAGGAAACCTCTTGTAACAGGGCATCATCTATCCGGGTGGAGTTTACCGCGACAATGGCCGATCGTAGCTGTAACATCAATTGGTCGAATTTCCCAGTCCAGTTGCCTAAAAGATAACTTGACAGTTGTTTAGACAAATTTGCTGCCTGAGTATAGTTATAATACTGAATAGCAGTAATACAAA